CCCAGCTCAGGCGCGTGCACCTAATCAGGGATGGCCTGATGAAGGTGGTTCAAAGCGGTCTGTGCTCTTTGGAGTATACCAATACAGGGTCCTGGCTGTTCCTGGGCGTTACACAAGATCTGATCAAGGCTTGTAGCACGCCGATGCATAGTTCCGCGATCGATGTCGGCAAAGTGAGTGGCAGCCGTGAGGCGTTGCGCGGCACGGATCCACTCGGTGGTCTGCACTGGGGCCACTCGGATGCCTCCGCCCTGGTGGGTGGTGCTGAGGCCGCAGGGCCCCGCATCCTGGTGGGACGGGGCAGCGTTAGGTCGGGCATGGTCCCCTACAGGCGGATGCTGGACGACAAATGAAAAATAGTCCAAATCACTCAAACATATTCTAAGAATGCTCAACAAATCGTCCCCAGACTATGTTCAAACTACTTGTGAATACACCTCCTGTAGAGGGACAGGCCCGACTTCACGCAGGGCCCCCGATCCTGGCCCCCGCCGCAAGAGGCGCCCCGTGCCGCCCCGTCGGTTTCAAGACGTCGTGGAGCACGACGTGCTGCCCCGTCGCACTGCCCAGCGCGGCGGAGCGCCCCCCGCGCACCGTCGCGGAGAGCTCTGCGCGCTCACGCTCGCGTTGCCGCGTCGCCCCGTCGCGCTGCTCGACGTCGCGGCGCTCGGCTCTGGGGCAACTCAGCGAGGATGTGCCAGTCGCGGGTGAGCTCTCCACGGGCGTGGTGCTCATTGCTCTGCTCGCCTCGTTCACAGATGCGAGACTGCCGGCACTGGGCCCCGTCGCCATGCGCTGCGCCGCGGTGCTTGATCCCGTCGCACTTCGCAGCGACAAAGTTCTGGTTCCTGAAGTGCTGCGCAACGACGCGAATCTAGTTGCACTGCCTGTCCCACTCGAACATGTGAGGCAGTTGGTGCTGGGCCCCGTCGCACTGACCAACGTCGCGGCGCTCAGCTCCGTCGCGCCGCTCAGCGCCGAGGTGCTGGTCGCGGACGCGCTGCTGTAAGGCGCGTCGTTCGACGCGCTGTTCGCTTCACTGGTAGGCGCGAAGCTGCCGGGGCTGGGCCCCGTAGCGCTGCTCAACGCCGCGGTGCCCGACTCCGTCGCGCTCTGCAGCGTCGCGGAGGTTGCCCGCGTTCTGCACGGGGGCGCGATGCTTGTAGCACTGATCGCATCGCTCGTTGATGCGGGACTGCTGGTGTTGGGTCTCATTTCGATGCGCAACGCCATGATGCTTGACTATCTCGCAGTGCTCTGCGTCGAGGTACTTGACCCTGATTTGCTGCCCGAAGACGCGGCGCTCGTTCCACTGTTCGTCGGCGAAGCTGTCGGCGCTGGGCCCTGTCGCACCGCCCGACGTCGTGGTACCCAACTCCCTCGTTGCTCTGCGTCGAAGTGGCGCTCGCAGGCGTGCTGCTGAAAGACGCCTTCATTCGATGTGCTGCTCTTCTCACTCGCACGGGGTAAAACTGCTGGGCATGGGGCCCGTCGCGCTGTGCAACTTCGCGGCGATCAATCTCGAATTGCTGCACGGCGTTGGGGAGCTGGCCCAGGAGGCGCTGGACGTGATGCTCGTTGCGCTGCTCGTCGCACTCGCACTCGCGAAGCTGCTTGCGCTGGACGCCGTCCTGCTCGCCGCGGTGCTCGATGCCGCCGCGCTGCTCAGCGTCAAGACGCTGGTCCCGGACGTGCTATGTGAGGCTGTCGGCGCCGGGCCCCGTCGCCATGCTCGACGTCGACGGGGCGGCGACGGCGACGACATAGCCGCCGGATCGCCCAACAGGCCCAGTTCTTAGACCAGAAGTAGGAACCCCTGAGTGCAAGCACTGTTTGGGGGAGAGAGAGAGAGAGAGAAACAAAAACAAAAAACAACAAAAAAAACAGAGACAGAGAGAACGAGAGAACGAGAAAGGAGGAGGAGGAGGAGGAAGAGGAGGAGGCGGAGGAGGAGGAGGAGGAGGCGGAGAAGGACCGGAGAAGGAGGAGGAAGAACACCAGGATATGGCGGAGGGGCCGAGAAGGAGGAGGAGGAAGAGGAGTGAGGAGGAGGAGAAGTATGGGGAGGTGGAGGAGGAGGAGGAGGGAGGAGGAGGAGGAGGAGGAGGCGGAGAAGGAGCGGAGAAGGAGGAAGAGCACCAGGATGTGGCGGAGGGCCGAGAAGGAGGAGGAGGAGGAGGGGAGGAGTGAGGAGGAGGAGGAGGAAGAGGAGGAGGAGGAGGAGGAGTACGGAGGAGGAGGAGGAGGAGAGGAGGAGGAGGAGAGAGGAGGAGGAGGGAGGAGGAGGAGGAGGAGGAGGAGGGGAGTGAGGAGGAGGAGGAGGAGGAGTGAGGAGGAGGAGGAGGAGGAGGAGGAGGAGGAGAGGGGTGACCAGGAGGCTGCTGCCCCTCCCTCGGCCGGCGCCGGGCGGCCGGCGGCACGCGGCGCAGGCCGCGCAGGCCCAGTACGGCAGGGTGAAGAGCATCCACAGTACCATCCGGCCGGGGGCGTGCTGCTTCTCCTGGCCGGGCGGGGGGAGGCGACACAGGGGTGGCCAGTCCACAAGAAGCCCTCCACAAGAAACCCCACCCTGATCGGGCGTTGGCAGAACTGGGTGTAGTGGGACCTGGTTTCGTGATGTGCACTGGGGGGCGCCCCCCCCGTCCCACTCCACTCACCGGAGCTGCCGTCACCCGAACAGCATCAGCTGCGGCAGACCTGGTCGAATGATTCCAATCCATATTTTGGGGCTTCGGGGACCAATCACTAACCAGCTCCCCTTAACCAGGGTCCTTGCTATACCCGATCCTGGCCGGGCGGGGGAGGCGGCACAGTGGAGGCCAGTCCACAAGAAACCCTCCACAAGAAACCCCACCCTGAGACCCCAGCGTGTCCATCAGTTTTTGGTATAGGCGCGTCACGCTGTCCAGCGCAAAGCCATCGAAACCCAAGAAACAAAGGGCACCCTGGAGGCCAGCAGGGTGTTTTTTGGCATGGGTCTCCACTGTACTGTGAGCGACGATCAAAAATGGGGTCTCACGCGAGATGTCACAGTGACCCTGCGCGGTGGCTTACGCGGGCCGCCGGCACGGCTCGCCACGCTGGCAACGAAGGCGCCCACGCGCGACCTTGCGCGGGCAGCCCGCGCGACCTTACGCGGGCGCTTGCGCGCGACATCACGCGGGTAAGGTGTACGCTTAATTTGAATATTATGTGCTTGCTTAAGTTTATCATATATGCGCAATTCTGCGTTCTCAGCCCTCGTCGCGAATGTTCCCCTCTGTGTCATCCAACGCCATATTGCTTGAACCTCCTCCCTCTTCCTAGCCTTCTATCCTCCATCGAGGACATATTCGAGCCAGCCAGCGGCCGCGGTGAGGGACCACCCCCTGCGCACCCTCTATGGTGTCGAGAAAGTGCCACGCCTGCTATGCCCTGGACGACCGTCGTGCATGGCGGCCGCGGTGAGGGACCACCCCCTGCGCAGCCTTTATGGTGTCGAGAAAATGCCGCGCCTGCTATGCCCTGGACGACCGTCGTGCATAGCGGCCGCGGTGAGGGACCACCCCGGTGAGAGACCACCCCCTGCGCACCCCCTCTGGAGTCGAGAAAGTGCCACGCCTGCTAAGCCCTGCGACATTGGCGCGTATAGAGACCGCGGTGAGAGACCACCCCCGTGCGCACCCCCTCTGGTGTCGAGAAAGTGCCACGCCTGCTAGGCCCTGCGACATTGGCGCGTATAGGGACCGCGGTGAGAGACCACCCCCTGCGCACCCCCTGCGGTGTCGAGAAAGTGCCACGCCTGCTAGGCCCTGCGACATTGGCGCGTATAGAGCCCGCGGTGAGAGACCACCCCCTGCGCACCCCCTCTGGTGTCGAGGAAGTGCCACGCCTGCTAGGCCCTGCGACATTGGCGCGTACAGGGACCGCGGTGAGTGACCACCCCCTGCAGGTGTCCCAAAGGTGCCACGCCTGAGGGAACGAGAAAGTGCCACGCCTGTAGCCTGCGACATTGGCGCGGTATAGAGACCGCGGTGAGAGACCACCCCCTGCGCACCCCCTCCGGTGTCGAGAAAGTGCCACGCCTGCTAGGCCCTGCGACATTGGCGCGTATAGAGACCGCGGTGAGAGACCACCCCCTGCGCACCCCCTGTGGTGTCGAGAAAGTGCCACGCCTGCTAGGCCCTGCGACATTGGCGCGTATAGGGACCGCGGTGAGAGACCACCCCCTGTGCACCCCCTCGGTGTCGAGAAAGTGCCACGCCTGCTAGGCCCTGCGACATTGGCGCGTATAGGGACCGCGGTGAGAGACCACCCCCTGCGCACCCCCTCGGTGTCGAGAAAGTGCCACGCCTGCTAGGCCCTGCGACATTGGCGCGTATAGAGACCGCGGTGAGAGACCACCCCCTGCGCACCCCATCGGTGTCGAGAAAGTGCCACGCCTGCTAGGCCCTGCGAATTGGCGCGCATTGGCGCCTATAGAGGTGAGAGACCACCCCCTGCGCACCCCCTCCGGTGTCGAGAAAGTGCCACGCTGCTAGGCCCTGCGACATTGGCGCGTATAGAACCGCGGTGAGAGACCACCCCCTGCGCACCCCCCCTGGTGTCGAGAAAGTGCCACGCCTGCTAGGCCCTGCGACATTGGCGCCTATAGAGACCGCGGTGAGAGACCAGCCCCTGCGCACCCCCTCTGGTGTCGAGAAAGTGCCACGCCTGCTACCCTGGCAGCCCGCGACCACCCCCTGCGCATGGTCGAGAAAGTGCCACGCCTGCTAGGCCCATAGACCGCGGTGAGAGACCACCCCTTGCGCACCCCCTCTGGTGTCGAGAAAGTGCCACGCCTGCTAGGGACCCTAGGGACCGCGGTGAGAGACCACCCCCTGCGCACCCCCTCCGGTGTCGAGAAAGTGCCACGCCTGCTAGGCCCTGCGACATTGGCGCGTATAGAGACCGCGGTGAGAGACCACCCCTGCGCACCCCCTCCGGTGTCGAGAAAGTGCCACGCCTGCTAGGCCCTGCGACATTGGCGCGAATAGAGCCCGCGGTGAGAGACCACCCCCTGCGCACCCCCTCCGGTGTCGAGAAAGTGCCACGCCTGCTAGGCCCTGCGACATTGGCGCGTATAGAGACCGCGGTGAGAGACCACCCCCTGCGCACCCCCTCTGGTGTCGAGAGAGTGCCACGCCTGCTGGGCCCTGCGACATTGGCGCGCATAGGGGCCGCTGTGAGAGACCACCCCCTGCGCCCCCCCTCCGGTGTCGAGAAAGTGCCACGCATGCTAGGCCCTGCGACATTGGCGCGTATAGTGACCGCGGTGAGAGACCACCCCCTGCGCACCCCCTCTGGTGTCGAGAAAGTGCCACGCCTGCTAGGCCCTGCGACATTGGCGCGAATAGGGACCGCGGTGAGAGACCAACCCCTGCGCACCCCCTCCGGTGTCGAGAAAGTGCCACGCCTGCTAGGCCCTGCGCCATTGGCGCGTATAGAGACCGCGGTGAGAGACCACCCCCTGCGCACCCCCTCTGGTGTCGAGAAAGTGCCACGCCTGCTAGGCCCTGCGACATTGGCGCGTATAGTGTATGATGCGTGTGCGGCTATATCGGGACGTGTCTCATGTGGGTGCCCACTATGTCGCGCACACGCCTCAATGGACGCTGCAGTGATCACGCCAGGCGCGCACTAGCGTTGTATGGTGTGTGTGAGTGTGTGTGTTGTGTGTGCGAGTGTGTGCATGCGCGCGGCCGTATGTAGACGCGTGTCTCATGTACTTGCCGTGCACGCGTTGAGCGCGGGTGAGGAGAGGAAGGAGGAGAGAGGAGATGAGGTGCGAGGTGAGGTGAGACGCGGGTGCGCCGCGGCAGGGAAGAAAACCAGAACCCCACGAAACATGTGGGAAAGAAGGAGAAGGAGAGGGAGGAGAAGGAGAAGGAGGAGACGCGGGTGAGACGCGGAAGGGAAGAAAACCAGAACCCCACGAAGCATGTGGGGAAAAAACTCTATGCACGTCGGCGGTGCCCCGGGGCACGAAGCCCCCCCCCCCCCCCCGCCCTTCCATCTGGCGCACCGGGTGCCGACGGCACCCCGGAACCCCCTCGTCTCGCTCCCGCCTGGGAGGGGGGGAGGGAGGGACGAAGGGAGGGAGGGGGGGGGAGGGAGGAAGGAGGAGGAGGAGGAGGAGGACGAGGAGGAGGCAAAGGACGAGAAGGAAGAGCGAGGAGGAGGAGGAGCAGGAGGATAAGGAAGAGGAGGAGGAGGAGAAGGAGGAGGAGGAGGAGGAAGAAGGGCGAGGAGGAGAAAGATGGGCAGGAGGGTAGGAGGGCAGTCAGAGGGCGGGCTCCTTTGGGAGCGGGGGGGGTCTCCTGCGGGAGCGGAGGCGCCTGGGAGGGTGCGCAGAGGAATTGCCGGGAAGCGCGAGGAGGAGGCATCCCATAAGATGTGGAGGAAAGTCCCAGGGAGACCTCCAGGGACCTCCAGAAATGGAGAACAGAAAATCCCCACACATAAAACTCATCCCGACAAGCGAAGCCGTTCAGTAAACGCACCCACTGAAGGAATCGAACAAGGCGGGGCTGTTTAGTAAACGCCCAGGGGCGTATAGTAAACGTCAATTGTCGGGTCCAGGTGTTTTTTCCTCCCTCGAGTAAACCTCCAGGTGCCTCCAGAGATCTCTGCATGTATGCTGTCCTCGTCGTTCGTCGTCGTTGGTCGTCGTCGTCGTCGTCCGTCGTCGTCACCCGTCGTCATCGTCGTTGTCGTCGGCGTCGTCGTCACGTCGTCGACACTTCGTCGTTCGCGTCGTCGTCGCGTCGTGTTCACGTTGTCGTCACGTCGTGGTCACGTCCTCGTCACGTCATCATCACGTCGTCGTCACGTCGTCGCGTCGTCGTCGCGTCGTCACGTCGTCGTCGTCCTCGTCGTCGTCGTCGTCGTCGCCGCCATCGTCGCCATCGTCGTCGTCGTCTATGGCCGTCGCCGTCGCCGTCGTCGCCTTTTCGTCGTTGTCGTCGTCGCCGCAGGGCGCTCTCCAGCGCTCCCAAGCACACTGGACGCTCGTAGCCGCTCCCCCGAGTCTCACACACGCTCCTGGATGCTCGCACCCCGTCGCATCCCAGGGCTTTAGTACCGGGCCGTCCATTCTAGGAGGGTTCGTACCAGCCCGCAACAGCGGTGCTGGCAGTGCGTCCTGGGGGTTCTCGTGCATCCCAGGGAGGGTCGCTCCGCACTGGGTAGCACCGACATAAACACATATACATTAAATAAAAAATTGTCCACCGAGTCTCGGGGCACGAAATCGAGTTACCCCCAGGCTCTCATGTGTTCTCTGTCGTGAATCCGGGATTCTAATAAAAGGGGCTCGGACAATGCATTTCCAAACTGTTTGAGCTCCAATTAGCAGCGCGGCGCTCTGCTAAGCTACCTCAGAGCATGCGCACTCGCTGCCCTACCCTCATTAGCAGAGCGCTGCTCTGCTAACTGGCCTCACAATAGGGTTCCCCATCCTGCTCGGGCTCCGGTTAGATT